GAAGCTCACCGGGTCGAGCTTGTTCCTGTTCTCCTCCGGCTTCTGTATGGTCGTATGATCTCGAAGGCCGGTGCAAGCTCTAGCCAGGCAGGCCAAGCAGGCCGCAGAAAGGCTGTCCTCAGAACGCTGTCTCAGCTACCGGATAAGGAATTTGAAATCTTCATGCAGGTCTCGTTCGGAGCGCTTGGAGAACTCGATTTGGTCCAGGACAACCAGGTCAATCAGCAGGCTTTCGAACAAGACCTTGTCAGCCCTAGACGCCAGACTGGTTTGCTGAAGATGATTGAAACCGTTTTCGAGACGCTTCAAAGCCGGATGGTCCCTTATGCAGAAAAGTCTATGCAGGTGGTACTTTACTGTCTCGTTCGGGCATGCCGCGAGATAGAAAAGGACCAGGCCCCTGCTGCCGATACGCCAGAGGGACGTTTGCTAACAGTTCTGCGCAATATCCGACACACATGTATCCGTTGTTTGGAGCTTATCTTCTCTAACACTCAGGATCAGGACTGGTCGCCCTACGTGCGCACAATGTATGAGGACGTGATCAACCCCAGGCTTGAGAATTTTGCAACTGAAACGGCTCAGGGTGTGTCAGGTCTCCTCAAGTTGTTCCATGTTTGGGCTTCTGCTCCTAAGTCATCATTCTACCTTGTCCAATACAACGATGCTCTGCTGAAGAAGGTCGTAGACTGCCTGGGTGTGGATTCGGCCCGGGATGAAGTCAAGGTCTTTGTCATGGACGAGATCCTAGTGCCACTCATCAATCTCTCAACCGGCAAGGAGCTTCAGGAGCAGGAGAAGATGAGCGATATCCCTGCCGACGAAATTCGTTCCGAGGTTTTGTCGCCCTATATTGAGCACACCCTGTCTCATCTCAGCAGGCTTCTCAAGCGTGGTCCTTCCCGGACCGTCCTGATTTCTGGCGTACAGACGTTGTCTCTGCTCGCGCCGTGCGTGGAGTCCTCGGAGGAGACGACTAGTCTTATTAGTATCACTACCTATCTACTCCGTCAGCCTCCGGACCGCGTCTCTCCAAGGACCAAATCTGGCCTGCTTAAATCCCTGGAACACTTCTTGCCTCTGTTCAACCCGCAAGAGGATGCCAATCTGTCCCAGGAAGTCTTTGAAGCAGTGTCGTCGATGTTCGATTATTTCAAGGACAATGCCAACAGAGAAGTTCTTGCCCGTGTCTTTACTGCTTTCGCCAAACGCGACGAGGAGCTTGTTCAGGTCGCTGCCCTTTGCGAGGACCTGAACTCCATGTCTACCAAGAGACTCGAGGTGGACTATGACCGCCGCCTATCAGCTTTTAGGGAGGTGAATGAAAACTTGTGGGAAAAGCTCAATGCCAAGCAGTGGCGGCCTCTTCTTTACAACATGTTGTACCAGGTTAAGGATGAGGAGGAACTTTCGATTCGGTCAAGCGCTTCGTTTGGATTGCGTCGATTCATGGAACGGGCAGTCCTCAATGATGTTGAGGCTTTCGAGCCTCTGGTGGCAGACGTCTTGTTCCCTGCTCTGCAGAGCGGCGTTCGCCAGAAGTCTGAGCTCATTCGGTCCGAGTTCATTACTGCGCTTGGTTACTTTGTCAAGCTGAATCCAGACCGTTCTAACGTCCAGGATCTGCACGTTCTGCTTGTCGGTGACGATGAAGAAGCGTCTTTCTTCAACAATGTTCTCCATATTCAGCAGCATCGTCGTCTGCGGGCGCTTCGCCGTCTTGCCAGCGAGGCGGGCAAAGGAAACATTCAGGCTTCGAACATCAGCACGATTTTCATTCCCCTCAATGAGCACTTTGTTTTTGATGAGGAAGCCGACGAGGCTACTCATAACCTTATCGCGGAAGCTGTAACAACAATCGGAGCCCTTGCAGAATGGTTGGATTGGAACCAGTTCAGGGCTATCTTCCGGAGATACCGCGGCTACATGCAGAGCAAGTCCGACATGGAGAAGAACATCATTAGACTTCTGGGCAAGATGGCTGATGCCTTGACTAACGCCATGAACCAGCATACCACAATCAAAGCGGCGGCTAAAGATGGAATGGATGGACTTGAGACCTCTAGCCCTGTTTCTACGCTTGCTCGGTCTATCCCATCTGTGGCCAAGGTTGCTACTGAGCTGACCACAAACTTTACCCCCTTCCTGACGGACTTCATCCACCACAAGAACGAGGCACAGATGAGTCTGCGTCTACCCGCTGCGGTCACAACGATCAAGCTGCTCAAGCTGTTGCCCGAGGACGATATGTCCATCCGTCTCCCACCTGTCCTTTTGGATGTATGCAGTATTCTCAAAAGTCGTACTCAGGAAACTCGGGACACTGCTCGGAAAACTTTGAACGATATTGCCCTTTTGCTGGGCCCATCGTACTTCGGCTACATTCTGAAAGAGCTTCGGACTACTCTCACCAAGGGTTACCAGCTTCACGTTCTGTCCTTCACAGTCCACTCGATGCTCGTGGCGACGACAGATGATTTTCAGCAGGGTGACCTGGATTACTGCTTGACCGACTTGAGTGCTATTGTTATGGATGACACGTTCGGCACTGTTGGCCAGGAGAAGGAAGCTGAGGAATACGTGAGTAAGATGAAGGAAGTTAAGAGCAGCAAGAGTTTCGACTCCATGGAACTTCTGGCGAAGAACTCCACAGTGCTTAATCTGGCCAACTTGGTCCGGCCGCTCCAATCGCTGCTTCGAGAGAAGCTTACCTCCAACATTGTGAGAAAGGTCGACGAGCTTTTGCGGAGAATTGGTGTCGGTCTTTTGAGAAACCCTGGTGTCGAAAGCCGCGATATCCTTGTCTTCTGTTATGAAGTCATCAAGGAGACGTATAGTGCACCAGCTCAAGTCAAGGCACAGGCCCCCAAGTCTCAACAGGCAGAGAACCTGGAGATCGACCTACGCGGGTCCAAGCGGGGTGAGAAGAAGGGCACTACTTCTTCCTACATCCACAAGTTGACACGCTTTTCTCTCGATGTTCTGCGTGCCATCCTGAGCAAGTTCGGCTCCCTGCTTACGCCGGCTAATCTAAAGGGATTCATCCCAATCATTGGCGATTCGCTGGTCCAGGCACACGAAGAAGTCAAGATCTCGGCTCTTCGTCTTCTGTCAACAATCATCAAGCTCCCGATCCCCGAGCTTGACAGCAACTCTCACGTCTATTTCACGGAAGCAGTCAAGGTGATCAAGGAGGCCCCGAGTACGAACACGGAGGCCGCGCAGGCATCTTTGAAGTTGGTCTCGGCTATGCTCCGTGAGAGAAAGAGCACTAAGCTCAGAGATGGACATCTTGCATACCTTCTTCAACGTGTCACTGCCGATATCGAAGAGCCCGACCGCCAAGGTGTCACCTTCAACTTCATCCGGGCTGTTATGGCAAGGAAGTTTGTGGTCCCTGAAGTGTACGAACTGATGGATAGCATCGCTACCATGATGGTCACTAACCAGACTCGTGCTGCCCGGGACCTCGCTCGTGGTACCTACATTCACTTCTTGATCGAATACCCGCAAGCCAAGAATCGCTGGACCAAACAACTCAGTTTCCTCGCCAAGAATTTGGATTACAAACACCAGGATGGTCGCCAATCAGTCATGGAGGCAATCCACATGCTGCTGTCCAAGACTGGAGACGAGCTGGCGCAAGATATTGTCAGCACCTTCTTCCTTCCGGTGGTCATGGTGATGGCGAATGACGACGCGCCTGAGTGCAGAGAAATGGCGGGTACTCTACTGGGAGAGCTCTACACCAGGGCAGACAGGGAGCAGATGAAGGCCATGCTCACGCCTCTTCATTCTTGGCTGGAGCAAATGGACAACTTGCTTCTCACCAGCACCGGCCTACAAGCTATGAGAATCTACTTTGAAGTGGAAGGCACCGAAAAGGATAAAGAGGCTCGGTTTGTCGTGGATGTGCTCCCGGCCATCATGCAACCCGTTCTCAAGGCCGAGGAGACTGAGAATTGGCAAGCCCTTTACTTCTCCCTTCAGCTCTACACTAAGCTCTGCAAGTCTGTACCGGCCATTGCGCTGGCCAAGGAGCGCACCAAACTCTGGGCCGCTATCCGCGAATGCCTGTTCTACCCTCACGCCTGGGTCAAGACCTGCGCTGCGAACCTCGTCGGCACATGGCTTGCGGACCTGGCCAAGACCAATGCTGCTAATGGATACGGTTCAATCCCGTTGGCTGGTTCCATGGGGTTGTCGCTTGACAAGGACGCCATGCTGCAGCTGATCCGTGCCAGTTTGCGCTCTCTTCGCACCCCAGCAGTCAGCGAGGAGCTCGCCATGCAGTCGGTCCGCAACATTATTTTCCTCGGTCGATGCTGCGCTCAGAACGGCATTGCATTCGCCAAGACCGGCAACAAGGATCTCGACTCGGACGCTAGCGATAGCGAGGATGAGGCGGAGGACGAGGCTGGACGTCAAGCCGGTACCACGAAAACGGCCATTCACTACATCTTCGAGCAGACATCTTCTATCCTGCGCAGAGAATTGCTTACCACGCGGGCTGAATCTTTGATTCCCAAGACCGCCTCCATCGGTCTCTTGGCCTCGCTCTGCCGCCATCTCGAAGTTGAACAGATCCGTGACTCCCTGCCCGTCATCCTCCTCCCTCTGCAGCACATGACGGACACCAGTATCCCCGCACCTCGCTCATCGGACGAGGTCTTCCGGGAGTCCTACAAGGGCCTGGTCTCGAACTGCCATGAGGTCCTGGACATTCTCCAGAAGAAGCTTGGAACGACCGAATACGTGCAGATCATGGCGCAAGTGCATGATTCCATCAAGGAGAGACGTGAAGACAGACGTGTCAAGCGACGGATCGAAGCCGTCACCGAACCGGAGCGCTACGAGAAGGACAAGAGACGGCGGAACGACCGCAAGCGCGAGAAGAGAAAGGAGAAGGGAGCGGAGCATCGCAGCAAGAGACGCGGCTGGTAGACGGATAGCGTTGCATGTTGCATATACAGGGTTTGTTTATACCAAAATCGCACGGCGTTGGGAGAATAGGAGATCGATCATGTTTAAGATGAGCTGTCTATCTATCGTACATATGATTCTTTGTCTTCATCTTCACCTTCCGTTCATCTATAAAAGTACAATGTATATCCCAAGAGCAGAGTGTACATACTCCAATCCCAATGATGATTGATATCAACCCCAACCAAGACGCCAAACGCTCATCAACTTTTCTAGACCCCAAACACAATGCATAGGCAAGTCAACAGTGTAGTAGTAGTCTAAGCCGACTTCCCCTCTTCCCCTTCACTCTCACCCTCCTTCTTGTTAACACTCCCATCGTCCCAAAACTCCATATCACCGTCCACATACCCACGAGTCAACTTATCACCCTGCCGGGCCAAGATATCCTCAAGGGTACTCTTCTTATCGAAGAAGATATTCAAATGATCGGCTATGACATGACGAGCATCGCACGAGGGGCACTTGATCAACACAGTGCCGCGGTGGTATCCGTGCTTCGACATGCGGTGTGAGGAACGCTCTCCGCATGGCTTGCAGGTGAATGTGATTTGGTATGCGGGCTCCTGTTCACGGCGGAGACGGTTCTGTTCTTCGTTTTGGGCGTCGGTTGTTGCGTCGGGAGAGCGGTCGGTTAGAGGTTTTGCTGAGGAGGAGTTGAGTCTGGTGGTAGTGAGGTGTGCAGTGACCCGCGGGGAGTAGACTGTTGGTGTTTGGCGATGGAGGAGCTGAGTGAATGGCCGGGAGGATGTTTGAGAGGCGCGGGTGATGGTAGCGCGGGGAAGAGAGGACTGGATAGTGCGGAGACCGCGGGGGAGAGATGTGAATGGGCGCATGTTGTATAGATGTATGTGATTATTGAATTGGATGGAAAATTGGTAGGTATATCTGAGAAGATGAAGATGAGTTGATGAACTGCAGAATCCGAGAGAAGTACTCCGTACAAATGACGGAGGAAAGCCGGAGTTTGCGCCGGAATTTCGTTGTTCCAGCTCGGGCCTCCGCGGTCTCAGTCTGTGTTACTTCTCCCTCTTCCTCTTGCCATCCCCTCGACCGTGAAGGAGGCGATAATTCGATGAGTGTGGCAAAGGCCTCGACTGTTGAACCGGTGGATTTCTGGGATATAAAACGATAACCTAGCTGTCCGTTGGCTGCATTGTTCGAGCATCCGGATACGTCACTGTTCTGTGCGGCGAGGATTGCCCCGCGCATCAGAGCTGTCAATCATTCATTACGCTGGATGATATCTGTTGAGGGATTCAAATATGTCTTTAAGAGCGAGGAACAAGATCCGTGCTCCGCGCAGGGTAGGTTTTCTTACTTATTTACATTTCTCTGTGGCCTATAGTTTGTGGTGTTCATGCACGGGGCGAAGTTCCGTTCGATAACGAAATCGGGTTCAGCGAAACGGTATGCTAATAAGAGCAATAACAGGGTATGGCAGGGAGCAAGGGTCACGATTTCGAGACAAGTTGGAATGAACTGTCCACCTCGCTGAAGAAAATTCACACCAAAGATGCGTCAGCTTTGTCCTTCGAAGAGATATACCGCAAGTCATACAACATCGTTTTGGGAATGCGTGGAGTGGAACTGTACGAACGGATTCAACAACTGGAACGTGACTGGTTAGATACAGAAGTCCACAGGTTGGTGACCGGAGCCATCTCGCCCAGTCTGCTGCTGGCGAGGCAGCTGGTAGATGCGCAAGACCAAGCCAATGAGAGGCGAGATGCAGGAGAGAGATTTCTGGCAGTGCTCAAGGAAGCTTGGGAGGATCATCAGCTGTGTATGAAAATGATTACGGATGTTCTTATGTATATGGTAAGTCTATCATCCTTTATCTGCACTGAAAATCCGCGTTAACTGAAGGATAATCTCATCCATCAGGACCGTGTTATGTCGACGGACCACCGAAAGCCATCCATTTATGTGGCATCAATGGCGTTGTTTCGAGACCATGTGCTTCGTGCTCCCATTCGACCGGACACCAGAACGAGCGTATACGATGTTTTGGAGTCGACTGTGCTGTTCATGCTACAATTGGAACGGTCAGGGCACATAATCGACAGGCCTTTGATCAGACACTGCGTGTATATGCTGGAAGGGCTCTATGAGACTATTACAGAGGAGGAATCATCCAAGTTATACCTTACTGTCTTTGAGCCGGCATTCTTGGAAGCTAGCAAGAAATTCTACCAGGCTGAAGGGCGGCGATTGCTGGAAACCGGCGATGCTGCAACCTTTTGCAAGGTCGCCACAGAGCGTCTCTCGGAGGAGACTGAACGGTGTATTGACACGCTGTCATCCCTCACCAAGACGAAGATTAAGGATGTCCTCGATAATGAGCTGATAAGAAACAATATCGCCGAGGTGGTGAAACTCGAGGGCACCGGTGTCAGGACCATGCTTGACAATGATCGCATCGACAATCTACGAAGCGTTTACGTGCTCAGCGCACGGGTCGACAACAAAAAGAGCCCCTTGACCGCTGCCGTGCAGAGGCGAATTGTCGAGATGGGCAAAGAAATTAATTCCTCTGCAATTGCATCACAAGCCTCGGCTCCCAGTGCAGGCAAGAAGTCTGAAGCTGGTGAAAAGAAGCCAGCGGAGAAACCAGTCAACCTGCAGACGATGGCTGCCATTAAATGGGTGGACGATATTCTGCGTCTGAAGCAGAAGTTTGACAACATCTGGGAGAATGCGTTTGAGTCTGACCAAGTTCTACAAAGCGCGATAACCAGCAGCTTCTCCGAGTTCATCAACTTGTCTCAAGGTGGAGACTCGCGCAGTTCTGAATACCTCTCCCTATTCTTCGACGAGAACCTAAAGAAGGGCATTAAAGGCAAGACAGATAGCGAGATTGATACTTTGCTGGACAATGGAATCACGCTTCTGCGTTACATCAAAGACAAGGACATGTTCGAGGCATACTACAAGAAGCATCTCTCCCGTCGTCTGCTGATGAAGCGCTCCGTGAGCATGGATGCCGAGCGACAGATGATCTCTAAAATGAAGATGGAAGTCGGCAACCAGTTCACACAGCGCCTGGAGTCCATGTTCAAGGACATGACCATTTCTGAGGATCTGACATCTAGCTACAAGGAACACATGCGACAGTCCAGCGACCCCGACCAGAGGCGGATCGAGCTGGATATTAATGTGCTCACCAGTACGATGTGGCCCATGGAGATCATGTCTAACGCGAGAAATGACGAGGTTCAACTTCCCCCCATCCTTCCCAAGGAGGTCGACAGCGTCAAGCAAAGCTTCGAACAATTCTACCTTGGCAAGCACAATGGCCGCAAGCTGTCGTGGCAAGCCAGCATGGGTACGGCCGACATCCGCGCAACTTTCCAACGAGCCAATGGCAAGGTCCAGCGACACGAACTCAATGTCTCTACCTACGCCATGATCATTCTGCTACTTTTCAACGATGTGCCTGCGGGCGAGTCTCTCACCTACACGGACATTCAAGCACGCACTCGTATTCCCGATCACGATCTGATTCGAAACTTGCAGTCCCTGGCCGTTGCACCCAAGACCCGTGTCCTGAAGAAAGACCCCATGAGCAAGGACGTCAAGCCCACAGACAAATTTGTCTTCAACAACGAGTTCCAGAGTCCGTTCATGAAGGTCCGAATTGGCGTTGTCAGCGGTAGTGCCAACAAAGTCGAGAACCAGGACCAGCGCAAGGAGACGGAGAAGAAGATGAGTGAGGAGCGCGGAGCCAGCATCGAGGCTGCCATTGTCAGAATCATGAAGTGGGTCCCCAGCTCCATATCCTACCATCTTGACTTTTCGCCAACCAATACTGCAGACAACGTAAAACACTAATCCACTCGCAACTCATGACCGAGGTGCTCTCTCAGCTGTCGGCGCGATTCGTCCCAGACGTCAACATGATCAAAAAGCGCATTGAGAGCTTGATTGATCGGGAGTATCTCGAGCGAGTTGAAGAGGACCCACCTACCTACGGATATGTGGCGTAGCGAATTTAGCGCTAGTACCATTGCTGGTTTTCATTCAATTTTACGGTTGTTTCCTTTGGTTTCATCGGTGGCGTTGATCATACTGAGCATGGTTGGTCTTGGACTTGAGCGGCGATGGCGCACGGTGTGGGGACACGGAATGAAAGCGTTTCAGCCTACATAGAGATGTTGGTCGTTTGATTGCCGTTATTTATTGACTTGACTTGACTTGACGTGGACTGACGGGGGTTTGTGTTCATAAAGGGGCGATGCTGGTGCATCAGGACGAGCGAAGCGATATGCAATGATGAGTGATGCATTGAATGATTGACACATGAGACTGACTGCAGTACTCTATGAAGTTAAACAAGCGTAGCACTTATTCCGTTCCTCGGGTAAGAAAAAAATAAAAGAAATCCAGGTATATGCACTATGCAAAGGTATCACTATCCCAACGCCTCAAATGCAACTCCCCCCATCCCCAATTCATCCCCCACTTCATACCCAAGCGAAGCAAGCAAAATCACAAAACCTCAACCTCCCCCCTCCCCCAAGCCCCTTTTACCCCCTCCCACCTAACCGCCCAAACCTCGCCCATCCTCAACACCGTGCCCTCAACCTCCACCTCCACCCCATCCCCAGGCGGCACCACAACCCTACTCTCCTCGACCAGACACCTCACAAAAACCACCTCCTTCCCATCCGGCCCCTGCACCATACTAGTCCCGCCCGCATTATCATCCAACCTGCGCAGCTGCGGCGGGAAAGAATTCAAGAACGAAGATCCGTAATGTCCAGCAAGTAATGTCTGATGCGCATGCAGAAAGGTTACTTCCTCCTTGGACAGCGGAGATGTATCCCCCCCTTCCTCCTCTGTATCCGGGGGTTCGGGGATGGAGTCCTCCGGTCTAGAGGAATCCGTTTGCGATTGTGACTGAGGTTGGGAGGCGGGGCGGGATATAAGAAGTAAATAGTGCATGCTATGCGCCGTGAGCTTTGAAAGACGTTGGCGGAGCAGAGAGCGAATTAGGTATTGCGTTCGGGAGAGGTCGGATTGCAGGATGGAGAGTTTGAGATTGGTTGTTGCGGCGTTCGCTGTTTGCATGGGGTCGGTGGAGGAGGCGGCGAGATCTTCGATGGATTCGATCTACATCATTCGTATAAGTACATAGATTAATTTGATTGTGGGGGTTAGAGGAAAGAAGAGGCGATCTGGGAGGAGGAGGGGAGGGGGAGTACCTGTCGTCTGACGCGCTCCATCATGCGCTCCATTAAGGACGCCGGCCATGGGAGGAGCTCTGGGACGGCGCGCTCGGCGACCCAGAAGCGCGTGAGTAATTGGTGGTCGAGGGCGGTGGACTCCGGGGTGGATGTGTCTGCCGTGCGGTCGACGGAGGCGAGGATGTCGTCGATGTCCATTGTAGATAGTTTTTGGGGTTGTGGTTGGTGTTGAGGGGTTGGCGAAGTGGGTGAGGGGATGATTTGCGGCGGAGGAGCAGCGCGATGGACGGAGTGGGTGGATTGTGGGTAGCGGAGCGGAGGTGCGACAGGCCGCGATTTCATTGGGTCCGCTGCGGAGGTACTACATGCAAAGTAGCTGCCGCTGCTTTAAACTCCATGGTATGCTCTACATGTCTACTGGATAGTCACAAGTAATTCGAAAGTTCATCTCATCATTGTCCAACATAGGAAATTAGTCTTTTAACCTCCATTTCCCCCCTACATTATAGTCGGGCCAGTAGCCGACCAGGTTCGTGGTTTATGTATGTACACCTGCACGAACATTCTCTTCGCAGTCAAGCTCTGGCTTCTTTATGCCAGATCTTGTCTTCCAATAGCGAGCGTGCATGTCAAGATTATCTCCTGATTGAGCCGTATGTCGATATGTACTGTGTAGACGGCGTGTAGCGTGGCACTCCCGTAGCACTATACAGGAGCTCGGGGTGGATGATTAAACGACGGTAGAAGGAAATAGGAAATTAGTCGCAGAAAGAAATGCCAGCTGGCGAGGTATCATAAGTCGATCACAGATGTGTCGAAGATCAAAGTGGTCGTCAAAAACATAGGAAATAAAATCCGAAGGGAGTGGTCGGATGGGAAAAAACGGGGTCGAACTCGGTCAAAGGTGAGGTGCAAGTCGCGCGAGGCAACAACTTGCCTTCAGATCGTAAGGCAAAAAGGTACTCCAGTAAGTCGGAACCAATCGTCGGAATGGCCGTCTAATAACCGCACCAACCCCAAATGATAGGAAAGAAACCCAAAGCAAACGAATGGTGTGGGATGCAGACAGACATTTCAAGCAAGTCCACCCAGTGCTATCCCAATGCAAAACGCTGACGCCAATAACCAGAAACTCACTCAAGAGCCAATTGACCCGCAGTGGCCAAACTGTATCTGAATGTCGAATGACAGGTAATAGAAATCCAAAGGAAGGCCCGTCAGGTAGTAGCAACTTGGCAACGCATGATGTTATCCATAAATCATGGCGTGTGCCAGGAAATTCTGGGGAAATGTTCCAACTTAGTACGAAAGCATACGCCGGCCAGAGAATCGTCCAGATGCCGGACTCTCGGCAAATGGGGAGCCGAGAAACCGGTTGCGGTCACCAGGATTGTTGCGACACCTTCCCGTGGGACTGTCCTCCATCTGAGGAGAATGCTGACCAAAGGCAAACGTCTGGGCTCGGTTGAGTTTGGACCGCTGCTTGACCTTCCCGAGGCCACGCTCGCAGGCAAACTCGTGTTCCTTGGCGCTCATCTCAACATAATTCTGCGGATAGCACAATGTCCGGTGCTCGGCAAAGAATGCGCTGTAACCACCCTCCAGAATGTACATATCGGGGTAGCTGAGTTGCGGGTAATGGTCCACATTGTAGGCACGGTCTTTATGGCGGATATACTTCGCCATGATCGGGGCCCGATGGGCGGAATATTCACAATGGAAGACTAATGCTGTCCGTGGCTTCGGACTTGAGAAGAGTTCGGCGGCCAGAAAGTCCTTGTCATTGTAGTTCACGGCTCCGCTGATGTGTCCGCCCTCGTACTCATACTCGAAGCGGCAGTCGACGACCATGATGTTATCAAAACGATCATTGTACTTGCCATCCAGGAGCTCCACGAGAATACTCTTATCGATGCGAGGCAGTGTATCGGCCTGGTCCTCAGAAAAGGTGTGAGGGAGCTGCAGGCTCGGGGTTCCTTCAATGTCGGGGACCGACGGAAGTGGTGCATTTGTAGTATAGTTAGCCTCTCTTTCGACAACAATATCCTCCGGGTGCTCAAACATGCTCAGCGAGCGTCGGCACTGTTTGCGAGGGCGCATCATCGGGTGGGAATTTTTGCGGATCGAAGCCGCCGTGGGCGAGCCATTGCCGCGGACATGGCTGTTACTGCTTCCAAGTTGGGGTCTCAGTCGTGGATTGATAAGGATTCCGCTGGAGTGGCGACTCAATGATGGCCGTTCCCGCTGTGGTGACTCGTTGAACATATCCTCCAGCGATGCAGATGCGCTCAGCGATGTTTTCCCTCCCTTGCTCTGGAACTTGAACGGTGGTGCCTGGCTTTCTGGGGCGGGTTTAGTCATGCCCAGCTGAAAGGTCTGGGCTTTGCTCCTGGCCAAACTTGGCCGCAAGAAGGTCGGACGTCTTCTCCTACAGACACATATGCAATTAGATCCACATCGCCCAAAGGTCACGTCCAAGCGCTTCTCTCTTACTCTTGCAGGCTATCCTTTTGCTGGACAAGGGGCGATTCCTCGAGAGGGCTAGGGGCGGCAGACATCATCGGAGTATCCATTGTAGAATCCAGGCTGGGAGACTCGAGTTCGGCTTCGCTCAGAAGGCCAAATGCTGGCTTATGCGGTAACGGGGACATGTCCATGATATCCATGGCGGGAGCAGGCGAGGACGCGGGTAGTGGAGGTGTGGTCATAGACTCTGCTCTACAGTTAAGCAACCCACACTTTTATGGCCTCAATTGGGAGGTCCTCTTACCACACCGGTTACTATTCCCGAGCAGACTCGCAGTGAACAAAGACCGCCGGGGCGTAGTCAACTGCGGACTAATTTTGGGGTGTCAGTCAATCCCTCCATGGGTGGACCACACTCGGAACAAAGACCCGAACCCAACTGGCAGTACGAACCTTTGATCAATGTGAAAATTTTGAGACAGATCCGCCGCGAGGCTAGCCGTGGGAGACGAGCCCCGGACAGGTTTCACGTTAAAATAGTCCCCATGGCCTTTCTTCATGGACAAGTCTTTGAAGTTGAAATTCTTGTGGCCCAGTCCACGCATCGGACTGAAAGAAGTATAGGATGTCGGTGCATCAGCACGAAAGCAATGCCCGAACATCACCGAGGGGGGCTGCATGGCAGCCAACGGGGACGAATGTTCCATTCTTGCCGGAGAATGATAGTCTTCCGCTGTCCCTGGTATTTCACGCCCAAAAAAAAAGAGTCGACGACCAAGCGAAGTAATAGCTAGTAGTGAAGAAACGGATGACAGATACGGTGCCAACTATATCTATCCGGCATACACTACACGGCAGATGTGGTACAATCGTAGTCGTCGTAGTCTATCCAGCTCCTTGCACACCTTCTAGTATTTCCCGATTTGTCTCGGATCCCGAACCTTCGCAGAATGTAACGACGGCTTCGATAAGTCTTAGCTGACCAGTCCGAAACCGCACTACTCGGTGACGAAGCCGTCGGTTTAGAGCGACATAGCTGGGGTTTCCAGTGGGAATGATCAAGGTGAATTCGGGAACGGTATAGGTTGGAACAAGAAGCAGGTCGGACGGGCAGCGTGGCTAGAATATGAACCGCAGACCAGATCAGCAAAGGCACACACCCTCACGGCGAAGAATTAGGGGGACGGGATCGTAGCAGATAGGCCATAGATATGGTACGCTAATGCAGTCGGGGGAAAGTTACCGAAGAGAAGAGGACTGGATGCGGGACTGGGCCTGGGCGAAGCTCACAGGACGGAGCATGGGAATGAGGAGCAGGGGACAGAAGCTCTTAAGAAGAAGGTGGAGAGCGGACGCTTAAGAGCTAGCTAGGGAGAGAGAAAGAAGGAAGAGAAAGAAAAAAAGGTCTGGAGAAAGTGAAGCTGAAGGGATGCCCTTGTTGCAATGGCAACGCAAAAGTGGGGAGGGATCTCCAGATGCTCTGCGCAGAGCTTAAGCGACGATGGGTTAGGCTGTGTCAGAAAACCAATGTCGAACCGGTTTGGTCCATGACCGCATTAAACGATTTGACCCTTCAAAAAAACCCAAGCAAGACACCGCCTGCTCTTTTGCTTGGTTGCTTGGTTGCTTGGTTTGTCTGCAAGGCCTGGCTAACTTCCTATTGAGGAGTAGATTGACTTTCATTCTTGAAGAAGGGATTGATTGATTTCAATTCTGGTTTGTCCGGATAATAGAAGCGACTCATTACTACTACTTGCTGCTGCTGCTGCTGCTGCTACTACTACTAACTAACTACTCCCGAACAGCCGCCCTAGTATCCAAATCGGGGACTACTTCCTTTCCTTGGTGAGTGAGTAGATTTCCTCTTTCTCTTCAATTAATTTCCCAATTTTTCTCCTCTCCGGGCGCATATTGAATATTGAAGTGACAGCTGTAGGTACCATCCAACTTACATACATGAGATACGCATACCAGGGAAGATTTATTTCCTTGTTCGGGGGGAAAAAGGGTATCTGTACCATACAGTTATGTACGTTGTATGTATATGTAGTATGGGTATGGGTATGGGTATGTATGTATGTATGTACTGAGTACTTAGTACTCCGTATACTGTCGAGTGACCTTCCAGAGTCATCTCCAGAGTAAGTAGGTACCCGGACTGGGACTAGTCCAGGCAGGCTAGGGCTCTGGGCGCCCCTCGTTGCCGGGACTCCCTTGCCGCCAGCACCAGCGCTAGCCGCTGCTCAGCAACCCCCCGCCTATCAGCGTCCTTACTGCGTCATCCGCTCACTATCACCTTAGTCGCCCTCTACCACTCTCGGCGGGCTGGCTGAAAAAAATGGCCTAAAAGGCCCATGATGGATCGTGCCTGTCTCACGGAACAACTGAAAGAGAGGAGAAAGGATACTGTTCTTTCGGCCTTCTTTTCTTTCCATTACTAACTCAACTGCGGAGGCAAATTATGGGTCCCCCTCTTTGTATTTCGTTTTTTGACAGGTTTCACCTATGTAACAAACTCGCCGAATATTGCTGTAGAAACCGTTGGTTCCAAATTTGCTTTTTTCCCTTTTTTTTTTTTTTTTTTCCCCTCTTTCATTTCTCGCTCTGCATAGTCCAGCGTGGTATCACTTCGGGACACAAGTCAGACACAAATCCTCTGCTAAGCGCCATTGCAAGTTCTCTTCCCGACCAAGGCTGACTATTACTCGATGGTTCATTCCTCCAATTACAATCCTGGCTTAGACTCGCTGGTTAGGTCAATCAATTAATCTAGGTCCAGCTCAATGCCTCTGACGGAAATAGATGGACGAACTAACGCCCACTTGGGTAAGTCCTAGGTCGTGGTAGGTATGGTAGGTATGCAATCACTCCGGGCATCTTTTCAACTATCTTCAGTGCCCTGGATTTTTTTTTTTTTTCGGCCGATCGACCAGTCAAAGCCGCAAGTGGGCGGGAGAAAAATCTGAAATCCGATCAATAATATCTTCCCGTGTGTGCCGTTCGATTTTTTCTGCGTTCGACTCTATACATCATTCCCGAGAACCAAAAAGAGAGATCGAGTCTAATAGAATCTCCACTTGGGCTCCACTGAGTCGGAAAAAAGAGCTTGTCCGGTATCATTCTCAGGAACGGGGTTTCCATGGTATAATTTCAAACCTTGACTAGCAGTAGAGCTGTCATACATACGTAAAGCTTCAATCACCTGGTAACTACCAGGTATCTACTGCTAGTCGACTGACCATGCAATGAGGTATTGCTCTACATCAAGACTTACCAGAATCGAACCATTCCCGCCATGCTCTTGCTCCAAGTCATGTATCACAGACCAAACCCACATACCGACTGATTAGATCATCGTTGCCTTCCCAGGCACACCTCGTCTCCGATCGGAAGAATGGCCGGCTTAGCCGGATTGAGTAATGCCAGAGCAACTGGACAATTGGAGGCCTCAAGATCCGAGCATGCCACGCGCTTAACTTCCCATCCAGTAGTCAAGCCAATTTCTGCAGAAGAATCTTCTTCGTCGGCCTCCGCCCTGACCAGCATAGAGGAAGTATGCCACTATCAGATCCACCTAGATTTTGTGCAACTCCAGCATCTCTCTTCTATGGCGGATGATCATAAGAGAAGGAGCATTCAGGTATTTCCTATTCTGGTCAGCTTGACTGCTTCGGACACACTCGGCACATACACACAGTAATCGGGCTTCACGGTGGGCAGCAAAAAGGTCTGATGATGGTCCCTACAGACTGGAATTTTCGCAACCCCTCTTGCGCACAGTCTTCATTGCGGCCCGTTCTTCACACTCACATCATTCCCTTACGTTGGCCCTCACTCTGCCCACATTCCTGCAGACCAAGCTTGGCCCAGGGATATCCTCCCTTTCTTTTGAACAACCTTCCAAGGAAGGTGCTTTGATAACAGCCGTGTCTGATCTTATCGCTGCCCTCGACAATGGCTTTCCAACAAGGAGCAATTGCTCGAGCAGAGAGCTCCAGTCTACGCCGTGAGGCTGAGGCCGTCTAGCTTACGGCTCTAGGCCTTCCCGGGTGTGGGGATCAGTGTACACTCCAGCTGAAGCAGGATTTCCTGTCGCATCCGAGAGGCTGACGACGTCACTTTGGCTGATACACTCCTTCTCCGCCACAACGAGGGGCCAAACGGCATTCTGGAGTCATGCAATCCCCGAGCCAGTTATGGAGAGCATAGCTCTCCACCATTCGGGTTCAGTCTCCTCGATCTCCATGATATTGCCTCGAAGCTAGTGCTGCCTCGTGGGCCATGAAAATAGCTCGATCGAATAAGAGGGGGGGGGGCCTTGCTCGCTGTTACTATTACACCGCCACGGATAGCGAGATCGGTAAGCTCCTGCGAGCAGCGATCGCATCATCGACCACTCACAATGGCCATTTTCTCGTTGTCCCAGGCCACAGGCCCCTCACCTTTGAGACACCGGACGGTCCCAATGATGATCCCTTCCCTCGCTCCGAACGTATTAGCGCTAGAGCTCATGAGGGTCCCGATTGAGCGACACAGTCAACCCCCTTGAGCGAAGATAGCCGGAAAATGCGGCTCATCTGCGGTGTCTACGCGCCAGGAAGGGCGCTAGCCCCAAGAACTATCTGAATCAATATCGCTAGAGTGACAGTCGGTTCCGCCTTTATTGAGGGCGGGTGGGTAGGCATTGATTGTACAGACTAAGTTCAAGGCGACACCACTTTAAGGGTATTAAATTAGATGATTGATTGACTTGGAAGAGGGTGAGGGGGAAAGGAGTTCTTGTGCGGCTGAAGGATCTACTGAGTGTCTATTTGTCTGATTATAGGCGCCGGGAACTGATCTGGACCGTCGCCCGCGTGAAAAGCGAGCCGTGCTAAACCGGCTAGTAGTCCTCTTACCTCGGATCTTTCGGTGGAGACGGGGATGTTGTTGACGGGCTTCTCCGTCACCTGAGCGGCCATGACATGCGCTGTTATCTGTCGGCCAGGCAGCCCAGACACGTCCGCGGACCGGGCATCAGCGTCGGGCGCTCTTGCAAGTGTCAACAATAACTGCTAGTGGTCCGCGTCAAAATGGTCGAGTATCAACAACAGCCTTGGCGGGCCAGCAGGAAGCGCTGCTGCGGGGTCTCAAGTGGTGATGGGGCCCCTGATTGGGCTAATCCTGCAGCTCTAAGTGCTCGTGCTCCAGAAAGGCTGTCTGCAACTTTATTTAGATACGGTGAATGGGGGGGAGGATGATGCTATCTCCTTCCCCTCTCCCCTCTTGTCCCCCTCCGTGCGGACTGCAGTGCTCCCAACTTGCTTTCCCAGATCTGCCTGCCTGGGATCGCGTCGATTGGAGGGAGCCAGTCGTGATGTCACATGGAGGGGGAAGTCTTGCATGAAACCTTCTCTCTTCCTTCCCTTCCCGCACCCTCCGGTATCTGCATGTCACCACTGTAACTGTATGTGCGTATGTATGCGCTGGCACACCCACCCACACACGGTCGGAGGGAGGAATAATCCTGGTTCGTGATGAGTCCTGCAGATGATCCATTGTTTATCACCTTCCGTTCTGGCCTCATCTGTAAACAATAACAATCAATCGTGGTGAACCGTGGAACCCCGGAGTCTTCCCCTCCCCCCGACCGACGCGACCGGCAGAGCGTGGTCCCGTGACTTGTCCCCGATGCGACCAAAACCCCCCCGTAACTCCATGACATCACCGAGATTTCTCCCTTTCTTGGTCCATCGTTGCTCGCCTTGCTTGTTTGTCCCTTTGCTCTCGGCCTTCCTTGCTGCCCCCTTCCCAACCCTTCTTCATGGCGCCCGATTTCGGTCAACAACATTCAACTCATTCGGGTCAGTCCCAAATTTGTGCCCAAGGCGAGATTCTCCTTTCACCTCTTTGATGCCTCATTTGGTCCATCCCACCTGCAATGGTGCTGGGATCCCGTAACTAGTGAGTCTAGATACGATCGGGGAAGCGATCTGCAGAACTATCGCCTACCCGTTTCTAAGTGACCCAGATCTTCGTCCTCTGGCCATGTGTTTTCGTTTACTCAGTAAACAAACTGGCCTGTTGTTGCCACCTAGATCCGATTTCACCGAGTAGTTGAAGACATACATAGATGTGCAAATTACGATCTTATTTTCTATCCATGGACATGAGCCTAGAAAAGCTTATTCCAAACAGGAGCGCATTAGCCACAGTTAACTCGCGCTTATACCAAGTGCATTTTCTGGGGATGTAACCGAAGACTGCATAATGTAGGCGCAAGATATCGTCTCCTCGCTAATTAGATGTCCCTTATCTTAGATCTCTCTTGAGATTCACCATGCAAGCATGGCCATCTAGGTATCTGGGGTGAACATCACGACCCCAGTAATTATCAAGATAATAATCGATCGCATATGCATATACTTGCCCCTTTCTTTAGGAGCACCCTTGCCAAAGGCGACATCGCTAACTCTCTATTAGTTGGTTATCAATCAATAACCCACTCCTAGCAATGAATCCTCCAATACTATCTACACCGCACAACACAGGGGGTGAAAGGTTATCTAGGAGAATAAAGACAGATATCGGGTCAATAATCCGCACGATAACCATGCAAGTCTATCTAGCATATTACCTTCACCGTTTCGGCACATCCTTGATCGCCATTCCTGACCCCAGCCACCCATCCCAGGATAGTCTCTATCCCCTTCCCAGCCCTACCATAACATAACTATTACAACTTTTATCTTAGAGTTTTCCCTTCCTAGTTTAGTTCCAATTATCTGCACGAAATTCCCCGTTCTTCGAAGATATTTCCTGCAGGTACGCCAGGTACCAATTAAACATACATGCACCCATGCGCCGCCCTTGCATGGGTATGTAGCTATATGTCTTCCACCCCGCATGTATATAGGTAGGGTTTGGGATAAGCTTCTCCCTCTGGGATTGAGTTTAGTGTTTCTAGGAGGAATTGATCCTGTCCTTATTTTTAGCTAGTAGTTTATGCCATGGCATACCCTGCTACAGTTCAGAAGAGTTTACTAGCTATGAAGTGAAGTGGCAGTCTTTCGCCATGTTTCTAATTAAGCTCTAAGTTAGCGACTGTCGTAGAATGTTTCTCTCATGGCAATTCCAGGCTTCAGGAATTCTTATTCGGGAAAGGCGTCATTAAAGTTGCTGCTCATGGTATAATCTTGGTATCAAGTTATTTAGTATCTATACAATACGCGCATTCCTTGTATCATCTCGAACATTACAATCATGATACTTAGTTACTACAATAGATATAATCCACTGGATAGATACTAGATTATTTCGATAGTTATCTTCACAATCTCCAACAAGGCTAGCACTTACTTTCTTCGTGGAATATCCATTTAATCAGGTTAACTATGCCGATAGTAATCCCCTCCCAGGAATGTAGCCTATACCTATTTAGGTAGAAAAGTCACCCTTTAGGGCAGATCATTCCACGGCAGCCTACGTTGCTATCATCGATTATTACAGTGTAGAAGAATCTGTTATAAACCGTTGCGTAGCCCGCACATGCATGCCTTACAATCCTGCTTCTACTGCTCGGCTCCACTTTTGCTATTTGCTGAAGAATACCAACGGTGGGTATTCACTTCGCTACTACTACTATTACTACTACTACCGAGTTATGAACTAATTCTGCTAGTAACTGTTGGACTTGACCTGTGGATACAGATAGGTGTCAGTATGTGGGCTAACGCGGGCTGTAAGTTGTCACTTGCTTGTGGGTTATGGTAGAGCATGCCGCTGCTCCTGTTGACTTGCTAGGAATCCTAACGGTTTATACTTAGTCGGTAGGTAGGTTGGTGTTCATCCCTATATGTCTAATTACTTACTCTGCTTGAGCACCCTGTGCTACGTTACTTACTCGGTCCATTGGATAGTAGAGAAAACTCCACAAAGATACCGATAACATCCAATCGCTTCATAATAGTTCATAATAGCTACCAGTAATAATCCAAAGTCAAGTAACACCTTAATATCGTGAGTTGTATACCACCATCAATAACTGCATACCTCATTCAACCCCAGTAAGGGATAGATAATCTATATTCAATATTGAATACTTCCAAGTAAGTACAAAGTAGCATAGATAGCATCAATCATTATCCTTCTACGATAAGAGCACTAGTGAGAGGATAATAATTCCTTGCTATACTATTGGCAAATATAACTGCCGGCCCCAGTCGTCCATCGAGAATGCAGGGATTTCTTATCCCGCTCTCTTTTCCCATGTATGATGATCCATACGTAGCAGGGAAGGAAAAGGAATGGTGGATCTTTTGGTAGACTGGTATAGGACTACGTGGCAGGTTTGGGTTTGTGGGGGATAGGATTTGGGTATTGGATATGGGATGTATAGTACTACTTGGGGGGGTTATAAGTGCGGATGGTTGTTGTGGTTGTGTTGGGGGGAGTAGGCAGTAATGTAGGTGGGTGATTGGGTTGGTGTTGAGAGATATATGGTATTTAGTTGTTGAATGTTGGAACATATCCCTTCTTCTGCTGTCCAGATAGACGCGATGTATCGTTTCGGTCTACTCGTTAGCGTGCAACATTGGATGCTGGGGGTAAGGAACAAAGTGACTGTCCAGTACTTAGGACATAGTAGTACTTGGTGTGAATGTTAGTAGTAGCAAGTCGGAGGATGTGTGAAAGATTGTTTTGAACTATAGTACTAGTAGACATGAACGGGCTTTCTTTCGCCCTGCTGAGGATGGTTTTAGTCGGGGTGGCATGCCTTGAAGTAGCGCTATAGAGGCTGCTTAGAGGAAACAGACAGCTCAAAATGTAGCAACTGCTGTTGGTCTGGTTATATAGTATCTTCTGTTGTAGCAGTAGTACTTAGTGGGTGTTCAACTGAATTATCAGGGTTCCGCTATTTGTAGTATACTCTTGGTATGATGTTATATATCTATTACCTAGAGTACTAGTAAGTTTAATTTGCTAATGATAGAAAGGTATTTGGATAGAGAGTAGTAGTAGTAAGTAGATGTTTTGCCCTACGCATACTACTGCTATATGAAAGGAGTAGTTATTACGGCTTTGTCTTGTGTTGCTTCCCTGGTTTGGTGCTGTCCACAAAGCAAGTAGTAGATGATGAAATGGAATAGTGACTTTTCTTATGATATTCCAACCGGTATAGGTAGTACTACTAATAATAGTATTATATATCTTGAGTACTATCTAGCTGTGCTCAGTTTTGTCACTATGTATATGTTCTTACTACTATGCAAGATTATATACAGTCTCCTGTACGGCCCATAAGACAAGGCATGGACAGGACCCTGAATATAAATATATAAAAGTTGCTCATATTGTTCCCCAGGCAAATCGCAATATCAAAAACTTAGGAAAACCGACGACCAAAGTCTTCTATTTCTTGACGATGGCGCCAAAACAATGCTATAGATTGTTCTGTCCGGTATACCACATCATGAAACAAGGAAAAGAACAGGGAGAAAAAAGAATCACCTCGCAAGGAAGCATCAATCAAATTCAACAGCCAACTTCCTTTAGCCACTCCCTGGTTGATTTGATGTATCTGTTGCAAGAATCGCAGCCTTCGTGCTCAGAAGCTCCCCCTTTCACATAAAGCTCCATCATCCCGTCCTTCCCCCATATCGACGCATGATGGATTGGTGGTCTCCCTTCATTGTCCAATATATTCACATCTGCCCCGGCTTCGATCAGTACCGCAACACATGACTCATTGTGCTTGTTGTCTATGTAGTGTAAAGCCGTCCGTCCATGCCGGTCCTTGGCGTTTACATCGATACCGGTGGCTAGGATCTGCTGAATTATCGACGTATTTTCGGATATTGCGGCATAATGCAGACTGGTGTAGCCGGACTCATTGGCCGCGAACACAGTGTCCTTGCTCATTTTGCTCAACAGCAGCTGTACAGCACGTAGCTGGTTGGCGTCAGCTGCTAAATGCAAATAACTATCACCGGCTTTGCTCAGCTTGTTGATATTCTTGCTGAGATTTATCATCGTCTGTATGATCTCCCGCTCAGATTTTGGAGTAGATACCCTGAGTATATTGTGGAGAGGTGTTCGGCCTTCGTCATCTGGCATGTCTATATCTGCCCCTGCTTCGATGAACGAGCGAATGAGCCCAGGAACCTCAGCAGAGTTGTGCCTAGCCAGACATGTATTATGAAGCGGAGTAGATCCCGAGCTGTCCCTGGTGGAGACATTGATTGCTGCCTTGCCAGATTTGGCGAGTTTCAGGATCCTTGCTATAGCCTTCGGAGTATCCTAGTAACCTCGTCCTTTTTTCAACTCGACTGTATAACCATGAAGGCTTGATTGTAGCATGTGGGTGGGCCATAAGGCGAGTTCACGGTCAACGAGCAGCTCAAACATATCTCTAGGACCTCGTAGTGCTTTTTCCATGCATTTAATCCCATTCTTACCCCGAGCAGTCACACTTGCTCCGGAATCGAGAAATAATCTGACAAGATCAACCTGCGAATTCTGAATGGCTTTGTGCAGTGGAGTAACCCCCTCTCGGTTTGCTTTGAAAGGGTCACCGCCAGCGGCTTGCATTGCGTTAATGAGTAGTTTCGGAGTTTCTAACATATCCTCCGAGCGAGAAAAAACTTCTGAGCAGGCGATGCTCAAGGCCGTATTTCCCTTTTCATCCAAGCGAAAGGGGTCATGGCCCCTATCAAGAAAGAACTGCACAAGAAAGCTAAGTCCTCTCTTAGCGGCAAAATGAAGGTATATTTGACCGTCAGTGCCAGTCGCGTTGAACTTATAGCCGGCATTTTCGAGAGCGGGCCAGACTTCAGCACAGACTTCTGCACAGACTTTTGGGAAGAAGTACTTCATACCCCGTTCAAACGCTTCCAGTAGGGCTTCCAGCGTGTATTGTCCTGAGCTAATCAGGTATCGGATCATGGTCGGCTTCCCCATGGATGCCGCTCTCTGCAGTAGTGTATCTCCATACCTGTCTTTGGCACTGGCATCTGCCCCGGCTTCCAGCAATGCCTGCACGACCTGAATATGTCCTCCACTGGTAGCAATATGCAGAGGAGTCTCCCCATTCGCGCCTTTTGCCTCGAGATCTGCGCCCCTAGATAACATGAGCTTCA